GTGCAGGTCAGAGGCCAATTTTGAGGAGTATTTGTCTCTGCAGTTTTATGTGGGTTTCTGAGACTGAACTCAGGTTGCCAGGCTGTGTAGCACTTGCCTGTTCCAGCTAAGCCATCTTGCCAGATCTACCCTGTTCCCTTGTGAGGAAGGACTCCCAGGGAGGAGCTGCAGGGAGGAGCTGCGTTTGTCCTTAGGCCTCAGAAATTGCAACGCCCAACTCCGTCTTCTGCCTCTGATTCAGGGCTCTCTCCACTCTCTGGTATTGCTGAAGCTTCTTACAGGCTCCCCAACATGTTCTGTACCCACCCCTCAGCTGGGCCCATCAAGGCTGGGGTGGGGGAGTTCTGGCTCCCTGAAAGACAGCATCCTCTTCCTGTGTGGTGCCATAAGTGCTAGCAGGCAGACAACTACTTGTCCCTCCTGCACTATTTTTATATCTTATGGGTTTCCTGTGGGGACCCAATCCAGCCTCCAGGGCCTCTGGGTTGGAGGTTATGGACAGGGTCGCTGGGAGACCCTGTGGCTATTTCTCTCTGGGAGTCTGATACAATGGAACTCAGGCTTAGCTTTGGAGAAGCTGAGGGGAAGTGAATGGAGAACCCTCCACCCACCCAGTCACAGAGCCAGGCTGGGATCCTGGCCACCATGGACTTAGCCTGGGGTTGGGGTGGGAGTTAGCTAGCCTGGGCCAGTGACACAGCAGCTGGGGCGTTGTGGGAGCTGGCTGTCCCTGAACTTGTTGGCCCTAGGCCAGGCCCAAAATAGCCCAGAGCTGAGCCCAGCCTGGGATAGACCTGTGTGCACATGAACTTGAGCTGATGTACCAAGACACTGCTGTGCAGGGGCAGGCATTGCATTCTCACGCAGCTCTCTGTGTGTCTCTGGGTCAGTCTGTGTCCTTGGAGATGGATGTACAAGTGTTCATGAATGGAGTTGTAGCCTTGGAGCTGTGTGGCATAGGGGCCCAGTCTTTCCATCAGTGGAGGGCCCATGTGGCACAGTTGAGTATGCACACTGGCACATTTCTCACCAGGGGAACTGTATGCACATGAAGTGCTTATCTGTGGGAAGCTGAGTCAGGAGCCGGGAGGCAAGGGCAGTGAATTCAGTAGATAGTCCTTTGGGTACTACCAGGGGGCCAGTCAAGGACTATTTGGAAGAGATGCTGGCCAGGTTTTGCCTTATTTGGAAGCTAATAAAACAGGGAGTGATGATGCCTGTGAGGTGACTCAGTAGATGGGGAAGTCCAGAGCACAGTAGCCTTCCAAATGTCCCAGACTAGGAAGTCACACCTGGTGAAAGAAGCTGGGACAGCCCTTCCTTTCTTCCTGCCAGGAACCCAGGCAGCAGCATTGCCTCTCTTCAGACACTTATACAGATGAGGAAAACAATGCCCAGAGAAGGGAAGGGCTGGCTCAGAGGCACCTGGCCCAAGACCAATTCCTTCCAGCTCACGGCCTGCCCTGCCTGTTAAAAAGAGGCTGGCAGAGGGCAGAGGTAGAGAAGTAGGCCTCTGGGGGAACAAGGCTCCCTCAGGGGTACAGGAAAGGGTACAGAAAGCAAAGCTCTGGGGTGGGGGTGTTAGAGAGATGACTCAGAGGTTAAGAGCACTGCCTGCTCTTCCAGAGGTCCTGAGTTCAATTCCTGGCAACCACATGGGGCTCACAGCTATCTACAGTGGGATCTGATACCCTCTTCTGGCATAAAGTCATACATAGAGCAATCAAAAAAAAAAAGCAATCAAAGAAAAGAAAGCAAAGCATAGACTGAGTTGTTAGCTCAATTAGGTAAGCACTTGCTTGCAGGCATGAGGACCTGAATTTGACTCCCAAAACACATGTGAAAAAGCCAGGTGTGGTGGTACACACTTGGTCCTCTCCAGCCAGCCAATCTAGCCTACATGGTAGGTCAAGGCCAATGTGAGATTGTCTCAAAAATAAAAAAAAAGGACAGCATCAGAAGAAATACAGCCACATCTGCACACACATGTGTCCCTGCAGACATACATACACATATACACACACACAAAGGGAAAGCTGTAATGGATTTACCTTTTAAAAAGTATTTAAAAAAAAAAAGCAAAGGCTGGAAAGGGTAAGAGGTCTTGGTCAGGAGGGGAGGGAAGAATAGGCTATTCTCTTTCACAGCGGTCTCTTTCCCAGGCTTCTTCCCTCTGTGGTCAGGCTTGGAAGGGTTAAAAACAATTCAGCCAGGCTCATCAGCTCCTAGAGGCCAGGTGCCCCTGCAGGTGCAGGGCAAAAAGGGAGCCCGGCAGCCAGACAGTAGCCCTCTTTGTTACAGGTTTGGACCACGCTCCCTTCTCCTTCCAAGAGTTTGGTCTGGAACTGCGATGCTTTTTCCAAGGTCGAAGGCTTTGGCAAGGAAACTGGCCAGCTTCAAGCTGTACCCGACATGGATGCAGAGGGCCTCCTTCAAGGTCACACACAGCAGTAGCTGCTACCGAAGGACGCCCAGCTTAGGGGCTGGGGTCATCATGGTCGACTGCTCTAAGCAACAAGTTTCTCGAATATACCAAGGACTCCTTCGCAGGGTGGGGGCTCGGTGACCCAAAAGGGTAGGCGAGGTCCCAAGGCTGCAGCCCGAGCAGAGTCGGTGGGCAAGGAAATCCGTCCTCGGATCCCGTCCTCGGATCCGGGAGGGGAACCTAAGAGGCGAATGACAGCCAGGGTGCGAACCTTCGCAGTCCGGCGGTGGCGGGAGAGGCGCCGGTAGA